GGACCCATGGCCCCCTCAACCCAATACAGACATCATTAATCAATTATAAGTCTTTTGCCCATTAAGTCTGGATCTGCCATAGAGTTTTTTTCCACACAAAATGAGTCTGAGTTGGAAGGAAGATGAACGTTAATACCAGGAAACACCAAAATTCAAATGCACATCTTTCTGACTGTAGCACCCCATACCTCCAGGCAACAAGCCCATGCTGGCCAGGAGTATTCAAGTCTGTGAACGCTGATTTAAAAAATCACCTGACCTCTGGCTTCACCTTTTCCTAGAGATAAGCACACTTTCTACATTTCCTTATTTACTGATGGCGACTGTCTGCCAGATGGCCATAGAAGCCACCTGTCCTCTCACTGACTGTGCTTGCATAAGAACAGGATGTTGACCCACTGAGAACTTGCAAAGGCTCACTTCTAATCTGCCTACCTGCCACACTCAGCAGAGACAAAAGGGCTATTTGGTTTGTGCAGACCTCCCTGGCTTCCCTCTTTCCTGGTCCTGGAGGCAGGTGGGAAAGAAACAGACAAGCCACAGGCACCTTCTGGGCCCCAGTGGCCCCACCCCCTCCTACATCCTGAGCACAAAGCAGCATTAACTCCTCTGAGAGGACCCAAAGTCAGATGGGAAATATGAAGGGGATCTTAACAGCATATAAAATTCCAAAATATGAAACCAAGAAGAAAAATGTGCCCCAGTAGGAAAAATGCTTCACACAAACCACAGTGGAAAGCAGGGCTTCCCTCACCCACCCCCTTGTACCAGGGATGGTATTTCACTCAGGGGACTCTACCCGGAAGAGCAAAGTGTCTGCAGTGTGGGGCCCCCTCCTCACGTGAGTCCACTCTGACCACCCACTTGGGGTCCTTCAGGAGTGCTGACCCTGTGTGCATGTCATGGACTGCTATGGTTTGCCTTATGAAGCGGCTAATCAAGAGCCCCAAGACCTCAGGGAGCGTGCGAATGGAACCATGGTGGCCACAGAGGCATTTCAAGGCAAGGAAGCAAAGGCTGAGAAGTGGCAGGATTAAGGCAGACCTCAACAGCATTTCCCTTCAATATTTTCATAGCTTCATCTTACTGCTGCTCACGGTGAAATTGCCAGAAACATAGGTCTCGTTTTACAGTATCAATTTTATAGAAAGTTAGCTATATGTCACTTGGCTTTTCTAAGCTGAGTTTGAATTGCTGGTTGAACATAATTTGGGACCGATGACAAATGAATAGATTTTTGGCACCACTAACAGTGAAAGTGCTCCCCATGTGTCCCTGGACGCTAATTACCACTCAGTTCTTGGCCACAGCAAAGATAATTTCAATTCACATGCCTATTACATGATTGTGCTGATTCTGAAGAATTTTTTTCTCAGCCCCAAGATCCATTCCTTTAGATAAGCACACGTTCAGCTGTTCAGATAAAATGATAATAAGAACAGATAAAATATTTTGAAGTATGAACAACTTCCCCCCAAAATATGATCTTCCAAAGCCACATTTTAAAAAAAAAAAGCTGATTATTTTACACAGAAAGTTAGTACAAATAATTCCCCCTTACATTAATAATTCCCTTACAAAATGTTTAATAATCCTTTCCTGTGTCATTGAAAGGAAGGCTGAACTTTAAATGAGAAAAACTGAGCACATGTCAACTTGAGCCCCACCAACTCCACGGCCACCAGCAGCAGTGGGGAAGAACAGGCCACTAAATTTGACGCTGAAGCTTCTCAAGGTGGACTCCATTCTTCTCCTGTTTTCTTCACTACAGCAAAAGCCTGAGACATTTATTTCTAAGTGTATTTACGAACAGAGTTGCAGCCTCTCTGCATAAAATCATTTGCTATTACACTAACAGCAAATTAATTTATACCATTTCAAAGACAGCATAACACTTCATGGAAGTACACACCTAAATGAAAATACTAATTTCTGCCATTTATTATTTTGGGATCATGAGCAAGTTACTGAAAATCTTTGGACTTCTACTCTTATCTGTAAAACGGGAACAACAAAAACCATTTCCTAGGACTAAAGTAAGTATTAAATCAAATGATGGGTCAGAGGATCCCGCACAGTGGCCAGTGTAGCGACTCCCCAGCCTGGGTCCCTCTCCAGAGCCCATCCTCTGTGTGGACACACTCAGTACGCTGGCAGCTGAAGTGTCACACTCACCATGCTTTCAGAAAGAAACTCTGTTTCACATGCCTCACCAATCCACAGCAGTCTTTTCACTTTGTGAGGTTTTCCTGAATTAGTTACCAGCTCTTGAAGAACACAAGGGTTTTTATGTGGTTTTATTCAATTTAAGCAAATCAGGCATGTCTCAGAAAACATCAGCCCTTATCTTTCTAGACCTCTGTAGGAGGGCAAACATCAAAAGCTATTCTTCTCCTGATCTGATCAATAGGAGCTATTATCTTTGCAGCTTCTCTGAGGACTGATTTTTGGCACTGATTCTGCAAACCGTAAGGTTTTAGTATTGAGGCCTCAACAGTGTGAGTGTTATTCAGAGGGAAGGACAAAATAAGCCTTGAATTCTCCTCAGTGATAAAAGCCTGTCCTCTCTAAAACGATTACTGGCTCATCTCAGCAGTTGGCAGGTAGAGACCGTCCTGTACAGGATGTGGATGCTCTGGTGGGAAGCAGCCGGCCGTGCCCCACCCTGCGTCCCTGACCCAGTGATGTGTGAGGCTGCACAGGCACACAGCGTCCCCACCCAGGAGCAGCCAGCCCTGCAGCTGCAAAGGCCCAGGGAAGACCAGAGTGGCTGCCCCACTGCCCATCTTGGCTGGAATCACTGAGTCCTA